CTCTGTGGAGCTCGTGAATGGCGTTCAATGTCACTGGACTGACTGCTGGCCGAATCCCTCCTTCTGGACCCTGATTGAGTTGGTCTTCCCTGGCCTGATTGGCCATGACTAGAAGTTTCTCTTGAGTGTCCACGAGAAGATGTCTGGCTTCTCCCAGACCCTAGTTCTCCATGTTGAGGTTCACGGTGCCCCTGAGTGGATCCAGAATGTGTCCGTGGAGCTCGTGAAGTGCGTTCAATGTCACTGGACTGACTGCTGGCTGAATCCCTCCTTCTGGACCCTGATTGAGTTGCTCTTCCCTGCCCAGATTGGCCACGAGTAGTGCTATCTCTTGAGTGTCCACGAGAAGATGTGTGGCTTCTTCCAGGCCCTGCTTCTCTATGCTGAGGTTCATGGTGCCCCTGAGTAGATCTAGAGTGTCTATGAGAAGCTCCTGATATACTTTCCCTGTCACTTGATTGACTATCATTTGATCTTTGTCTATGTTTGATTGCTGTAGGCTGTTCATCAGTTGGCGAATCATAACCATGATCATTTCTTGTGTGATCCTGGGAAGATGTAGAATATCTTTCCCAGTTTTCTGAATGACTTTCCCTGTCACCTGACTGGTTTTGTCTTGCTTCTCTCTCAGTTCTAGGAATGCCATCTTGACCTTCAAATTTGCTTCCTGATATGTGATGCCTACTTGTTTCACTTTGAGTCCGTGAACTTATCCTACCACCTTTTGTCCCACTTATACTAGTTCTTGTGTGACGAGTGCTAGAAGATTGCTGTGAGCTATACCCATATGGACTAGTGCTGGATGACTGACCTGAGCCCAAGCCTTGTTGACTAGAGGACTGGCCTGAAATAGAGCCATATTGACCATGGGACTGACCTGAACCAGAGCCATATTGACTGTGAGACTGACCTGAACCTGAGCCATGTTGACTGTGAGACTGACCTGAACCTGAGCCACATTGACTGTGAGACTGACCTGAACCTGAGCCATATTGACTGGGAGACTGACCTGAACCTGAGCCATATTGACCGTGAGACTGACCTGAACCAGAGCCATATTGACTGTGAGACTGACCTGAACCTGAGCC